CTTGTGGCGTATCACCGCATTAAACTTTGTCTAACCCTACGACATTGGTCATCCTAAATCTCGAAGAGACAACAGACGCTTTAATTTTGGCACAGGCTTAGCGAGAGTGCTGCAAAACCAGCAGCATCTTACAAACTCTCCTACGTTCGTGATATCGCACCAATACCTAATCGATATGAAACATCCTGAGCCTGAAGCAAAGTTATTTGATGGATTTGCGTCAGTTCATTCTGGGCTTTCCTCGCTCCTTCTGCTTTTGGAACAATCATTTAATTATACTTCTTGTTGGCATTCGCAGGCGAAGTTTTGCCTCTCAACAGTGAGAATTAGTGGCTCTATATTGATACCCTGGCCTTTGAGATATACGTGTTTCATGTTCCCGAAAGGGCAGCATTTTATTTGTTTCATATTTCCTTAGCTGAATGGTTCGTTTTTACTATCATAGTTAGTGAACGCTTTCTCAAACCTTAAAATTTCAAGACTACAAGAGTGATCTCATCGTTTTAATGCATGCATAATTCTATTTAATCGATTTGTACTGCGTTATGGCCCAACCCGATTTCTCCTTACTTTGATTTAGCGGCAAGTTTCATAAAGCTTGTTGCATCTTCATTGGCTAGATCATTATCTTGGTCGCCACCATTAATATTTCAGAAGCCGATGTTCATATATACATTTTTTAAACCTTAAAAATTTCTTTTACATTGTTTTAATTTGTCCGTCACATTAGTAAGTATATCATTCTCCAACCTGAGTTTCACCCTGTTTTACACTGCTTCAGTTCTGTAAGACATTTATGGTCCCGTGGAATTTAGCGCAAGCGTAAATTCATGACGCATCATTTATAATTAGAGCGGCGCTTTGCTCATTACCACTAATGTTTCAGGAGTCGGTATCTTAATAATTCTTAGCCAGGTACTAAATTGCAGGTTGGTGTGCCGCATATGTTAGTAAATGAATAGTTCTTACAAAACTGTATTTCACAGCATATCATACAACCACTAGATGCCTAATGGTCCTTTAAGCAACCGTTGACGACATATTTTATACGGTCATATCATCTGTTAGATATAAATAGATTTTGCTTGTCATGCGACTCGTTATGATGTCTCATGAGCCGGTAGAGATTGTACTTTCTATAAGTTTACAATTAATATTGAAAATTTGGTTCTTATGATAGCACTGTACAATCCCGTTTATTTATACTACAGCATAAAGTCTTATGCCATTTTTCAAATGCTAGAAAAGTAATTGAAGGTGGAATTCAATATAAAGTTTAATTTTATAGATAGCTCGAGCGGCTGCCATCTTCGAAGTAGACGAAATTGTGGTGTTCGACGAATTTTCGAAGACAACGGAAAAGTTGGTAAAATTTTTGTGAGATTTCCTACTGTCTTGACCATGCATCAAAAGCCAGTTACTTTGCTTCTTTGGTTGAACCTGATTTTGAATACATTCATTTTTCAAGAAACTGCGTATCTGGCCATACAATCAATGAATGAGTATTTCGTTCTGCGTTGGATCATGCTGAAAACTGAGTAAAAACGCGGTTCATTCATACGCAAGCAAATTGGTCAATCGAATTAACCATTACCAATGTTTCCACTCATCTCTCACAGGTCTTCTTCATAGGATTGGTTTCTGCAGTTAGTTCTATGGTCCGCAGTTGTGAACTCTTGTTAGCTCCATACGTTAAACAGCTGGAAACCACAGAACGTGCTGCAGAAATCAAATCTTGCCCACCTTGGAAAGACGAACCGAAACTCGGTACCGGTTGATCACCCGATTGACTAATTTGCTTGCGTCTTGTACGAATAAACCGTGATTTTATGCAGTTTGTTTTTCAGCATCTCCAGTCTTTCGCTTTTATAGAACGTCTCTGGTTTGTGACTTCCCATTAATTCTCAACTTTTCAACATTATGTTTTAAAGATTTGGTTACTGCAATGCTGAAGTAACTATTTTTTTCCATGTTGCTTGCTGACCTTCCGCTTGATATCTGTCATGGATCATTTCCTCACAGGTGTGAACCTCACTGTGCAACTCAGCGCGTAGGCAGCGGGACGGCACCTAGAGAAGGAATTGTTCATCAGTGCTGAGCGACTTCACAGGTAACTCAAGTAACCAATCCAATTGTTTCTCGGAAGACCGATGTCATTTCCAAGGTGATGAGAGTGTAATTCTTACGACGGCGGACAGTTTGATGAACTTACGTTCCTTCATATAGATATTGTACCTATTTGAGAAGAGTTGTGTTTCTTGCGGGAGTATAAGCTTCAACCTGAGGTTTGTCTGTTCATCTGCTTGTTTGTTATTCACTCACTCACCTATACTCTGCGGTAGCTATCACATATCAGAGCCGTGGCGGAATATCTAGTTTATGTCTAGTGTACATAGTTACCTATATACAGTGGCAAATGTAGCTGGTGCCCGAATGCGCCCTTGTTCAGCCATCGACGAGATACGGTCTTGAATCTTATACGAGACAACTTCTTGATCATTATGGAGCCATGGCCTGCTCAAATGATTCCCGTAGGTAACAAGAAGCAGAAGATAGCGGGACATCTACACGTATATGTCCTTTAATCAGGAACCTAAATTTTGTTGATAGTATAAGTTATTCGTCTGAGTTATCCACATGGGACAATTCCTCCTTGTCCAGAAGCATTTCCAGAAATTATGAAAGAGCAAAACAGAACATTCAGCAAGAGATTAACCTCGCATTTTCTCGCGCAGCTTTATGTCCTCTGTTCGCAGAATGGATTTTCTGTGAGCTTCTGTTCTTTTGAAGATTGTTAACAGGCAGTTGCTTCATGCCAGCTCCCTGAGGAGTAGATATATGCTATCTATTAAGGTGCGTTATCTGAATTTAGGATCAAGGTTGATTTTTGTCTTTACCATGTCGTGCATTATCTCTGTGAAACTCAGGTTAAATTTACGGGATAATTTGTTACTAGTTTTTTGATTTGTTTGAATGCCAACAGTCCTGGGAAAATTCCAGCGCCATATATGTGAGGTACTGCCTACACCTTTGCAATGTGCTGCCATGTTTTGGCATCTGTGCCCAATGATTTTCTTATTTTCCCATCAAGATAGAAAACAGATGTCCTGCCAACATTATTTTTCACGCTAGCGATCACAGAAACTCAGGCTTTTGTGGTCTTGGAGGGGATCTTTGAAATTCGTTGGGTGATGGTTGGGTTGCAGGTTTAATACTCGACCGACTCTATTTCTTCATGATATGAATGTACAGTTTATTTAATTAGCTACATTCAAGCCGGTCGTCTCATCAGCGTTGCTGGAGAATCCTTACTAAGATGATACTTTGTTAATCATTGCTGGAGAATCTGTTCCTTTTGCTTATGAACCCATTAACTTTGCAGCCTGTACTCTGTAGTATTCTTCCTCGCTGTGAGGTTGAGATGGTCACTGATAGGTAAATTTTCTCTATGAAACTGAAAACTGTTTGAGCGACTAACGCCTGATCTATTTTCACGATTGAAGCGTATGTCACCGAAGTACTTGAATTGATGGATTTCTTCAACTGTCCTTTTCTACTCTTCTACTTCCGTTTCACCATTAGTTCCAATCAGTTATGCAGTATTGAAAACTTTTAGGTTTAGATTCGCCTTTGCTTGTTTTTTAGATGTTAAAGTTATTTATATTCCTGATCATTTTACTTTTACCTTGAATGCTTTTCCAATGAATGAGAAAAATTATTACATCAGTTTAGGTTTATGTTCATTTTTTAAAGTATATTTTTTGATAAACTCATGTTGGATGTTGACTTTTTTAGAGAGAAACGAGAATCAGATGAATTCCAGTATGGCTTTACACAGAATAGCAATATACTGATGGTGAAAATTCTGCGTTATCTCGAGTGTCCCCAGTATCTGCGCAAACATATGTTTCCTCTTCAGAAAGACTTGCGTTATGCCGGTAATTGTTTTTGTTACTCAGTTATAATCGTTAAATTGCCCATTCAATTTAATGCCATTGCAGGCTTGTTGAACCCATTGGACTGTTTTCATCACTTTCGAGTCACGGATCTTTCTGTTCCTTACAGAGAGGGCGTAGTGTTGGACAAATCAGTCAAGGCCGGCCGTGGCTCGTTCGTATACGTTGGTCTTCACAAGGTAAATCAAATTTTTTTCTTCTGCGTTTACAGTTTTGCGAAAGAAGCCTGGTCGCTTAGGCAGGAGTCTTGAACTGGGCAGCAAGAAAATTCTGAAATAGTAAACAAAATGATATGATTAGCTCCATTGTTGCCAGTCCAAATTCCCAATAAGAAAGAAGAAGGCTTGAGAATTATGTCGAAGACGTAAAAATTAGCCATTTTACCCGCATGATATTGAAGCTATTGCGCGCTATGCCATCTCGGTAGTCATGCATGTTACCAAGGACCGCACAGGCTACTGACAAACTGAAATAGACTGCGAAAAGTCAGCCACCAGGATCATCATGACATGCTCCACAACGTGCGGCAGTTAGCACGCGTGAGTAGGAGGTAACAGCT